TATCAACTTGTTTTCCGCCAAACACTTCAAGAATTTTTTATTTCTATTTAATTTCATAGAGGATTGGTTACTCTATCTAACATAAAATATAGTATGAAACTATTTCGAATAGTGGGAGAAACATAGATTTTACAGCTGAAATTTTAGACATCTTATTTATCAATAAATTCAAAAATTTTTGCTCTATTCAGTCATAGATTAATGGGAAAAGGTTATGATAATTACATGACTAAAAGCTACTCGATCAGAATAAATACTTAAATTTTTTACATCAATTGTTTGATGAGAAAATCAAGGCAGTATACAGAGAAAAAAAGATTTTTTTCCTTCATTTCTCAAAATTCCTCTAGTTTCTTATCAGGATATGAAACAAATAACGCTCGTCGGAAGGACTGACTTAACCTTCGACTGAATTCAATCTTGTTATCATTTTCTCTGTTCTGCTTTCACAATTATTGTGCAATACATGAACAGACGAAAATCTATCTATAGTATTTTCAGTGACGACTACTTTGTAAAAAGATTCGAACCTTTCTATTTACTATTCTGAATTTTTAAGTTTTACTTAATCAAACATCTTGCAGTGCATTATCATGATTGAATTAAACCCATGCCCTAATTCTCTTACAACGTAGTCCAAGCATGTTTGTTCTTCCTCTCAAATTGACTATAAATTGTTTGGTCGATGTTTCTTGACTCCGGCGTTCTCTTAACCCTGACACATGGAAACTTATTTTATTTCATATGATCCTCCATTAAGCCAAGGAAATATCGTTAATTTCTCAAAAAACCCTTTCCTGAACCCAAAAAATTCAACTCAAAACTTTGGGAAACCGACTTTCGTCAACTGTTATAAAAAATTCCCCTTTGATTTTTTTTGACCTTGCCACAAGCAAAACTCTTTTCAACTCTTTTCACATCAGTCTCCCTACAATCGAGGGAACAAAAAAGTATATGTTTATACAGCATAGCTTTTAAATTAATATAACTGATCATCGTGTTGCTTTCCTCGATAATCTCAAACAAAAACCATAAAAAACCAACGATTTGAAACCTGAATGACGTTGAAAATGCTTGTCAGAAAATAAGGCAC